GAATTTGTAAATTTCATTACAAAACAAAAAACCATCCCAAATTAATTAGCGATGGAATTCTACCATATTAATCAGAGTTTAGTCGCAAATTTATTAGTTTTTCAGTATAAGTCACCACTGAATTTAATTTAAAATAGGCTTTCTTTTTTTGCCAAAAAAAAAAGACTTCGTATGAGAATTATATAATGTTTAGGAAAGCATCAAATGATTGTCATGATATTTCAAAATCAGCTATTTAATTTTTCTCAAAGAAAGTTTTTTTTTTATTATACAAAGAAGGGACTAAATAAAACAATCAAAGAACAAGTGGCATGAAATATAAATGTTCTATATATGTTGTGGTTGAAAACAACTAAGCCAAATAATAATGAATAGGGTCATAAATAAGACAGATGCCATGCCACGAGGTCTGATCCAAGTGATAGGTACATATATAAGATGCTATGACTTTATAATTTTCTTAGCCAAAAAAAAATTTAATAATTGTCAACACATAGCACCACAAATTAAATATATTCAGCTGATAAAATAATAACACCAACACCTAAACAAAAGTTGGCCCAAACAGAAGCATTCACATGCAAGTGTTTGGTTGGAGAAAGAATAAGAATTTTGAGGCGTAGCAACAAGACACATGGGTTTATCCATTTCATTTTCTTGATAAATACTAATTGGATATGTGTCTGGATAGGAGAAGCACACGAGCTGAGTTGCTAACAATGGTTGAGTTGCTAAAAATTATTTTAGATTGAATAGAAATGAGTTATTAACTTTTGAACTAATTTCTTGAGTTTGAAATTTGTGGATATAAGAAATTAGATTGAGAGAGTTCCCACTATGATTCTCATTATAAGTAACTTGTAACACATTCTCACATATAAAGAGACACATTAAATTGAAAAAATTAAAAGTTTTTCTTTCTATGTATTTATAAATCATTCTCATATTTCTCTTCTCTTTATCTCTTTTCAATGAGAATTAAATAAAGATAAAATTTGACAATGATTTTTAAATATCCTATAAGTGATTTACATCTAGAACCAAAACTTTTTCCTGCAAATGACCTATAATAAGGACGCAAACATTACATTTAAAGCTTGATAAATTTTTATTTTTAAAATTTGAAGTAGTTGGTATTATTGAATATTCAATGTTTATCCAAAATGAAAAACAAAATGCTAGAGTTCCTGTGAAATAGGGTCAGGTTCTAGATGAATTTCAACAATAAATCCTAATTCTCATATGCGACTTCTTTTTAGTATAAAAAAATATGGAAGCTGAATTGGTAACAATGATTAAATCAAATAGAAAGAATTTAATGCCTTTTAAAGTAATGTCAAGTTCAAAATTTGTGATTAAAAAATTTAATTTAATTAGTAGTATCAAGTACTCAACGTTTATCCCAAAAACATTTAAAATTATGTTGGGACTTAGGAGAGCTCAACTCCCACAACCCACCGATCTCAAATCCAAATTAACATATATTCTTTATAACCCTAAATATAAAAATTAGTTATAAGAATTTATTTTGTTCTTAAATATAAAATTTTAATATATTTTATCTCCTAAATTTATATTTTATTTCTCAAGTTGTCCATATAGATTGCACATTTTAAAGAATTTTCATAAAGAAATAATTTCAAATCAAATCATTAATAAAAATATTTTTAAGAAAACCAACACATATATCCCTTTAATATAAATAACAAAAATTTAACTAATTAAGATTGATAGAATCATTATTCAAAAAGGCACAAAGTACTTTTTAAATCTAGGGGCGCAAGCCAAAACTAGCTTAGCTAGAAAATTAAATATGTAACTTTATTATCATCTCCAAACATAAGTTTAGTATCTACTTTTTATTCATGATCAAGAAAAGAAGCTTAGCCTTGTTAACCAACATACATTTCTAACAAATAACTAATTTAATTATTTTTTAAATTTTCAAAAAATTAATTACATATGCCCTAAACTAGTAATTGGAAGGAGTAATATTTTTTTTTCGTCATCAAAATTAGAAGGTGATGCTTGACATAGATAGTAATTGGATGGTTCATGATGTGATAGGGATAAAAAGAAGGGAGAGGTGGGGGAGAGTGTGGATTGGTGATAATAGGAGGGGATAAGGTAAATGGACCCCATTGTAATTAAAAAGAGGTAGTTAGGCTGGCAGTTGAATTAAGGATAGATAGAAAGGTGGCGTTTTTTTGGTTTATAGAAAAGTTTACAAAGTGTATGTGTTCCTCAAATGGAAGTAGACGACACTCTGTATCTGCGTTTCTGCTTCAGCAGTTGGAAGAGACCTACGACTATTTGCGTGTGTACTTTGCGTTTTGAGCTTCTGACGGGCGCGGCGCAGGCCGTTGAGCCGTTGATTTTCTGTTGCTTGAGGTGACCTACGGGCCACGACGGCACAACCGTGCTTGGCAAGCACTATACTACTCCTCCGATCCTTAATATAAGACCCATTTAAATAATTTGATTATATTAAGGAAGTTAGGTAAGTTAGTTAATTATAAGAAAAGTGACACATTTTTCCTAAACACCATAACATCTTTTATAATACCTCCTCTCCCTCTTCTACTTGATTATACTTAAGAGAGTATTCATAAGGGTAATTAAGAGAAAATTGATAAATATGAAAAATGGGTCTTATATTTAGGACCAAAACTAACTTAAGAATTGGGTCCTATATTAAGGACCGGAGGAGTATGTGTGTGTATATATATATATATACAGACACATCTATATACTTTCCATTCTTACCATATTAAGAGCTAGTTTAATATTTAATTTAATCCTAAAATAATACTTCAATTCACTTTATTTCTTATATTTATCTTCTTTTTTTTAAAAAAAACAATCATTATGTTAGTTTCACATGTTAAAAGTTTTATCAAATGATACTTCTAACTACTACCCATTATTAGTAAAAATATTTTAGGAAATATAACACTTATTTATTGATAATAATTAACTTAACTAATTTTTTAATCTATTTAAAATAATTAACTAGTTCTTATATTAAGGATTGGATATAGTATATATATATTTTGCCAACATATATATAGTTTAATATTTCTATTAAAATTTTCAATTATAGATGTATTGGTATATAAGTTTTAATAAAAATATAACAGCATATAAGTTTGTAGTTTAAACAATAAAATATAGATACATTAGAAAATTTAAGAATAAGTTACACATATAATTTTAATTTGCTCAAATGATGCAAAGATAGTTTTAATTTTTGAATTTACACAATATTTAATATGAGAGTATATTAACAATTTTTAAAATTTATGTTTCAAAAATTATTTAAAGAAAAAAATAATAATTATGCATAATTTTTACTTTTGTTAAATTTAAATCGGTTTGTCTTCTAAAACATTTTGTACTTTTGAAAAACAGAAAAGAGACGTATTTACAATTTTATGACATTCATGATATACTTATATAATCTGCTCTACATTTCAGATAATTCCACATAAATTTCAAAATAGACAAAATCATATAGTCTTTGTCAAAATCCGAAATATATTATTAACATTTAAATTGCACATAATTTTATATAATTTTAATAGTAAAATTGAACTTTACTTAGAGATTGAGCTCAAATGATCAAGTAGATCTTGACTATACTATATTGTTGAGGTCACCTTACCTTACGCCGTCCAGATGACCACATTTTAAAGCCAAGTTATAACTAAAAAAGCTAAACCAAACCTTCATTTTCATTCTTATTCTATTTGTCCACATCCTCCTATCTAAGCCTCACCTTCTTACCTTTCCACGTGCAACTTTCTTATTAATTATTTTCACGTACACTATTTCTCTAATCTATATTATCAATTTTTGGAAGTCTAGTTACATCAAAATTAAGATGATTTCAAACCTTCTTTATGTTATAAAAATAAATAAAATTAAAGGAGCCCGACTATAGAGGTGGGAAGTTTTTCAATCGGGGACAAACTATCTAGAGTGAGGACAGCTACCCTACCCTACAAAACCCTTTTTTTTTTTAAAAAAAAAAGGTATTTCATTTTTAGTGGGCCAAATCCAATCCAGCACAACCTCAGGTGGTCCAGGATTTTAATATCGTTTTGTTTTCCCCTTTATGAGAATTAAGATTTTATACTAATAAACACAATTAGCACAACAAAAATGCTTATAATCACATAAAAATCATTTCAAAACATTAAGACTTAATCATAAATCTATAAGAATTTCTAACAATATTAAATAACAATAAATAAAAAAAAGGGAAAATGACCAAAAAATGATTGTTGAAATTTGAAATGACAAAATGGGCATGCAAATAACTGAAATCACCAAATAGGCTTGAGGTATGAATCTGGAATTATTACAATTCGGTGGAAAGACTAAAACACCCCTGAATATCTGTGAACTCATGAGTTGAAACAAGACACGCAGAAGAGAGAGAGAGTGGAGAAGAGGAAGCTGAGGCAAGAGTGAAAATCTGAAAAGAAGAAAAAGGTAAGCAAATTTTCTGTTAAAATGATAGTATCGTACTCCTTCAACTATCACCATTATGTTAAAATCTCTCCGTCTTCTACTTCTCTGATTAGAGTGGTTTTATTTGGGAAAAACGGCGAATCTTGGTTCTAAAGTGGGGGAAGCAATGGTAAAAGTTTAAAATGGAATTTAAAGGTAGATTAAAACTTATAGCTATATTAATCGGTGCTTGGACTGCTTTGAATTGTGAAGTTTGAAGAAGGGGTTGCTGCTTCTGTGTGTGTACGTATTATTCGAGTTGTTCCCTTCCTCTGAATCATAGTCACTGCCTAATGAGATTTTCCTCTGACTGTTGTGCTGCTGTAATGTTATAAGATATAATATATGTGTGTGTTTATGATTTTGGTATGGGTGAAAGATCGAGTTTTTTTAAATTTCAGAAGGGGTTTAATCGGTTGTCATTTGGGGACTGTGTTTTCTGATGCTAAATGAATAAAGGATGTCTACAGATTCTGAAATCAATATTCTTGAAGTTCTCTGAGTTGTCAAAATCATGGGAATTTGTTTATCTTTGCCACGATATATCATCTTACAAGCATGTGTGTGTTCTTTGCTGCTGGGGAGGTTGATGCTTGAGGTTGCGGGATTCAAGTTTTGGAAATTCAAAAGCTAATACGGTGGTGTTCAGAGACTATTTAATGAATCTAAATTATATATTAGCATGTTCTGAAAGTGAAAATAATTTACAGATTATATATTATATCTACTTGAAATTTTTGAAGGTTAAAAGCTGATTCTATACTTGTAAAATAATTGTATGTGTGTGAGTATGTGGGTCATTGCTTGTGAATTGATGCTAGTGGAACTAAATTATCGAGGCATAAAACTGATTTTCCTTTTTTTCTTTTAAATCTGCTGGTTTAAAGATTGAAGAGCTAGAGATTAAAAACTGATATAGACATAATGATTTATGTCTCTAAGTGGTGAATCATGGTTGTGCTGTTTGAATCAGATTGTTTTATAGCCTGTGAGCTCAAAATAGAAACTGAAAAATCAGTTTCAAGTTACGGAATTATGCTTTCATGTGGTGGCTAGTGAATCATAGTCTCAATTCAAAACGTGACGAAACATTGAGCTTGTTTTTATCAAATAAAGCCACCACACTGACCAAAAGATGACATCTGTGATAGTAGTAAAGATTAGTAGATTAAGCAATTAGTACTTGTGAAAGCAATGTCCAGATACTGTCAAGATATTTGACTTATAGTTGTAGGTTGTATGTTATGATATTTGTAGGCCTAATTTAAATCTTTTTTGGGATAATTTTACTAAACAAGTAATTATAATTACAACATGCATAATGAAAGTTGCCACTTCTGTGATGGCATTCGGAACTCGATTATTTGTGCCCCAAATTACATCTACTTGGACCCAATTTCACTACACAAGTAATGGGATTAACAATATTCGTAATGAAAGTGACTACTTTTGTACCATTTGCAACTCGTTTCTTTCAAACCCAAGTAAAATATATTTGGAGCCAATTTCACTATCTCGGTAATGATAATCACAACATTTGTAATGTAAATTACAACTTTCATAATGAGAGTTACCATCTCACTATTGCCATTTGTGACTTGTTTCTTTCAAACCTAAATAACATTTATTTTTAGCCAATTTCATTATTCCGGTAATGATAATCATAACATTTGTAATGTGAATTACAACTTTCGTAATGAGAGTTACCATCTCACTATTGTCATTTCAACTCGTTTCTTTCAAATCCAAGTAACATCTAATTTCAGCCAATTTCACTACCCCGGTAATGATAATGACAATATTTGTAATGTGAATAATAACATTTGTAATCAAATTAACCACTCTAGTCATGCCTATTGGCAACTTCCACCATCTCCCTTGGGAGAATTAAACAAATGATAAAATGTGTTGACAAAATAACATACAAGTATACCTGAAAAGCAGCATAATATGTTTACATTAACATTCAGACTTTATTACATGTATAATGGAATTGACCACTGAAGTGACAATATTTACCAAAAACTAGTAAGCATATGACAGAAGCTATATAACTTATATTCAAATGACAAGTTAACATTAACATTAAACTACCACCTAATGTTTTCTTGTCATTTAAATTACAAAGCATATCCTACCCAATTAACATCATTTACAAAAAAGATAGCCTACTTATCAATCCTTCTTCAAAAAAATTAAGAAGGGTTCAAAAGTCATTCCATTCACACCAAAAAATTACCCTCAATATTAGACCCAATGTTAGATGTCATCAAAGCTTGCTAACCTGCAGCAAAGAAGCATAAATCAATATTTTAGTTCCCCAATAATCAATTTCATTTACTTTCCGAAACACCCAAAAAATGCACACACCCACTTCGTCCATTGACAACTTAAATATAGGATTTGACAATTCCACTAATGAATTTAACAGCACTGACCACGTCCTACTTATTGTTTGCCCTCAAACTCCATACCCACATTATCAGTTGCCACCATTTTTCCATTTCCGATGCATCACTCTCTCATACCAGTCAAATTCTTCATCTAAACCCTCTATACTCATAAGCCCATTCCCATTCGAGTATGCAGCAGCAAAGCGAGTTAAGAACCCAAACCCATCATTAACCTCGACTCTCTTACGTAATACCCACATTCAACCTCTCTTTTACTACAAACCAACTTGCTCACAAGCAAAATCCACCGTAATAAATTAGGTTTGCAGAGTGGTGATAGTTGGAGGAGTACGATAGTGGCCTTTTAACAAAAAAATTACTTACCTTTTTCTTCTTTTCAGTTTTTCACTCTTGCTCCAGCTTCCTCTTTTCCACTCTCTCTCTTTTGCGTGTCTTGTTTCAACTCATGAGTTCACAGATATTTAGGGGTGTTTTAGTCTTTCCACCGAATTGTAATAATTCTAGATTCATACCTCAGGCCCATTTGGTGATTTCAATTATTTGCATGCCCATTTTGTCATTTCAAATTTCAACAGTCATTTTCTGGTCATTTTCCTATAAAAAAACAACATTCTAGTTACAAAATATTTTTTTTGAAAAAAAAAAATCACTTAGACCATACTAGACCAATTAAGGAGGTCTAACTACTTGGTCTCAAAACTTGTCCAGCCTGACTAGCTAGTCTAGTTCAATTTGGTCTGCTTTTACCAGTTTGCTTATCTGGTTTTAATCAGGCCACCTTGAATTGAACCGGGTTACTAGGTTTTTGCACATCCATATTTAAATATAAGAGTTAGGAGATAAGTTGGTTTTGTTTTTAAATATAAAATCTCAATTTATTTTACTTTTTAAAATTTATAATTTTTCTTAAAATCTCCTATTAAGATGTTGTTCATGAAGAAAGTAGTTTGCCGTGCAAAATGACCACTGTAGGAAAAAAAACACGTATTTTTTCTTACAAATAACTAATTATATAGTTCCGGTTTTTGGTACGGGAGTGACTAATGTGGAGTGTTTCCTAAATTTTTTTAATCTTAACTCATGCATTTAGCATTCTTTATAGATGGTTCGAATTTATAACCACATACTTGGGGAAGATTTAATAGAGATGTTTAGTCATTTGGTGCCATTAAGTAATTTGTTTTGTTATTTTAAGTGATTATTCTATTCTAGGTAATTAAAAATTTATTATTTTTTAATTCTTGTGTTCAAAAATTTCAACATAACTTAAGTGGCCCCATTTCAGGTTTCCTAAATATCGAAACTTAGCTTGTATAAAATAATTATGGTTAAATTCACAATTTTAATAACAATAATAATATTTATATCTTAATTATATATATTTATATCCTTTTTTAGCAAATATATATTTATATCATTCTTGCAAAATTTTTGGGTCCATCAAGCTCCTCAGTCCTGGTAATCAATTTCTGCATTCGCACAAAATAAGTCTCAACGCTAATTTGTCTCGTAAACAATAATTTATTTGCCTAATTAGTGGATTTGATTTGACTTAGAAGATGTTTGAATGAAAACTAAATTATTATTTTAAAAATAATTTTATGATATACTAAAATAAGTATATAAAAAAAATTTTGTTTCGATTTACATAAAAACACTTTTAAAAAGTATTTTTTTAGAGTTTCCAAACATCTTTTCATATGTTATTTTTTCCCATATATGCAAGGTCAATATATCAACAAGAAACGAACAATGCCTAATGTGTATTGGAAAAATTACTTTCAATTTAATCTGATAACTTATTTAAATTTGACTTAATAGTAATGGATATGATCGTATGATATACTCCCTCCATTCCTTTCTGCTAGTATAACACAAATTTTCCTATTTTATACGAACTGAAAAAAGGAAAAATTAGAGAGAAGGACCAGGTGGGAATGATATTTATTAGAAAAGATCTTAAAAACCTTAATTATTTAAAAGGACCAGATATTAAAATATAAACTTAAAAAAACTGAAATCACCCCTATTCACACCACAACTCCTATATTCTCTTACCACCTCCTATAATTTTCATACCATTTAGTAGAATAATTACCATTTATTTGAATTAATTCAAACTAATTTAAATTTCAAAGTGAGACACAGATTCTAATTAATTAAATTAATAGCCAACACTAGTTAATTTATTTTTCTATTATTTTTAATTAATAATTTTTGTAGGACAGTAAAGTTCTACGATTCATAGGAAAAAAAATTATTCCATATTTTTACTTATCCCTATCATGCTATTATTTTATTTGAATAAGTTGAATCCTCTTACTTAATAAAATTTAAAATAAAAAATGACATAAGAAATTCATTATATCAATAAATATCTGTCATAATAAAAGTAGTTATAATAGTTTGAGTAAGAAAATTCAAGTTTAAACCTACATGATATTTTGTATTCTTATTAATTATGAATAAGTTATATATTATTTATTATGATATCACTTTTTTAAATTTTTAATTCAACCATATGATTTTGATCGGCTCATTATTTAGGACCCAAAAAAGAGTTTATTGTTTTAAAAAAGGATGGACGAATAAATTAATTAGTGTTACTTATTAATTGAATTGAATTTAATTAGTTATAATTGTTTCGTAACTTTGTAATTCTAATTAGTTTGAATAATTTAAATAAATTTTAATGATTTTGTTATAAAAAAAAGAAATTTATAGGATGTGGTGAGACATAATATATGGGATTTTGTTAAGGAAAAATTGGTAATTTTAAATTTATATTTTAGTATTTAGTCCTTCTGCATAAATACAATTTTTAAGATTTTTTCCCGTAAATATTATTGCCATTAGGTTCCTCTCCCTAATTTTCCCTTGAAAAAAACTAATTGATGTCTCTACAATTTTCTCATCTTTCCACAAATACCACTCATTAAATAACTATTCTTCAGGGTTTTCTTTGAAAAAACTGTATTAATTACTGTTTAGATTTTAAAAATAGTCTAAGAACACCAAAATTTATCCTCTCTCTAGTTTTAAATATAGAAACCAAATAACTAATTTACAGAGATTAATAAAATTAGTTAAATTAGACATATATAAAAAATATATATATATTTCTAAAATATCTTCTTTAATTATACTAAATTTGAAACTATCTTTCAATAAAAACCACTTCAATATGTATAGTCAATTAAGATAGTGAACTTAATTATTTTTAATAAACGCGTCTTAGTTTTCTAAACTACCCTCTGGAATCATTCCCTGATTGGGAGCCCCAAATATGTCAATAAATATGGATATTTTGGATAAAAATTATAAAATTTTCAATGTGGGTTGAGTCTAGTAGAATAGGGTAGTCCTTCATAATGTGATGGGGTTGGGTCTAGTAGAATAAGCTACTCCCTCACAACATAAAGAATCAAGGTTCAAATCTCTATTAGAAGAAATGTCCATATTTAGTGCTTGATAATGCCTCGAGTAGAATTGTTTCTAATAAGAGGATAGCTATACATAGCCAAAAAAAAATTATAAATTTTAAAAACTATGGGAATCAAGATTTTATATTTAAAATCAAAATAAATCCTTTATATAGTTGTTATACTTCTCAGGTCTTTAATATAAAAAATTATTGAACTGATTTTGATATTAAATATAAGATCTATTTATCATATTTATTAATGCTTTTTAAATTATCTTTATTGATACTTTCTTGACCATAATCAAGTAGGAAATGAAGGGGTATTATAAAAAAATGATTATGGTGTTTTGGTAAAAATATATCATATTTTTTATAATTAACTGATTTATCTGATTTTTTAATCTAATTAAATTAATTAAATACATCTTATATTAAGGATAGGAGGAGTATTTAGTTTCGGTAGTACTACCTTCGGTCCTTAATATAAAACCTTGTTTGACTTTTATTTTGGTCATAAATATAAGACCCCAATCCACTTTGTCTCTCACATTTATATATTTTTTTTCAAAATAGTCATTTTAATAATAGTAATTCTAACCAATATACTTAATTAGCAATGATATTTTAGGAAAGACAACACATATTTATTACAAATAACTAATTTAATTTCTTTTTTTAATCTTCTTAAATTAATCAACTAGCAGCGAAGGTAGTATATGCATAGAGATCATGCTGGGCCGTTGTATACAGAGGGACATATGATTGATATATTCTAGTAAGTTTTGGTAGATGGGAGATGTAAATTTGTGGTCCCAAAGCCAACCTGAGGCTCCTACTCTGTTACGTTAAGCATGGATCTAACAAATGTATCTGTAACTTGATTTTTTTTTTCATTTTTCATTTTATTTTTTTAAGTACCATAATGACCTTTTTGTCCTATTGCACGTACAAATAAATGCTTGATCAGCAATCAGCAATTTAATAATAGTTTTTACCCGCTGGTGAAAACTAAAGTATGTTGTCCTCTTTTATTTATTAGGAACCACTTGTCGTCTTTTAAGCTTCTTAAATGTGAAATTCTCCTCTCAAAACTTTTAATAATTTCATGTACTTTTCATCTAACAAACAAAAGTCTAGAAAAACAGAATCTTTAACTGTTTAATATCCGAACATTTATGATTTATAAACTTATTTTCACAAATATCTAATATTCGGTATTATTAATTGTTAACTAAGGAGAATTTGCTTATGCATGTCTTGTTGATTATTTAATTAAGTTTTCACTTATTTTAATTTTTATCAACTTTTGTGTGAGTTCTTTAGTTTTGAAAATATAGTCAAATTTAGTTTTTAAAATCGTTAAATAAATTAACAGAAAATGATTATTTGCGCACTCAAATTATTTTGACTTATTTAACTTATGGATCGGAACATTCAATAATCCATTATTTTTTTTTGAAAATATAATTTTGAAAAATCTTGAAAATATTTAACAGTCCACAACAAAGTTAAAATTATTTAGAAAATCAATGTTTTTGATTGAACATAGGATATCCGTTACCAATAGCAGTAATTAATCCATCGCACCGTAAACCTTTTAAAGGAGCTTTAATGCTGGCTATAAGATTCTCTCTTTACACATAATCGGGGATTAAATCCTAACTAGATAATCAAATTTAACGATTACATAACTCAAGTGAGAAATCAAGATCTTGCTATATCCTTGTAACTTCTAACCTAAGTACTGCGATACTGCTACTCATGTCGGGATTATGTATTTTATTATTTACTTCAATTTGTTATATTAACTCTAACATGCCTAACTTAGTTCCAAAGTTCTTGTCATAAGTGGGCGACACACTTTATAATATTCAGCATCTAATTTATGATCTGTGTAGAATTCATGGCCCTGAATTGTTTTTCCCTTTTTAAAATTAGGATCATATATATACTTGTTGTTCACTCTTTTATTTTGGTCATTTTTTAATACAATTACTTGATACCTAATACTTATATATTAAATTCACATATTGTGAGATTCAATTAAGTGTATCTTCGTTAACATGTTCATTTTTGGTGATTTTGGCTTCTTTTTTTAATCTACAGTATTACTTCTCCTTTTGAGAGGAAAAATCAATAGAATTATACATGGAGTGTTGTTTCAAATTGAAAAAAAAGTGTCTGTATATACACAGCAGTCAGCACTAATTAACCACAACTTACAATTGCTGTATATGCTCAAACTTCCAAATCTATAGAATTTAATAAACAATGGAAAATACTTACCTTTTTTTTTTTAATTTTTTTACTTTCTATTTCATTTATCTATCTTATTTTAAAGTTCAATTTTGCTTAATAACTTATCTAAAAATTTGATTGTTAAAAGAACACAATAATATCATAAAATTTGTATAGCTAACTCCACCTAGTGAGATAAAGCATGTTCTTGTTGTTCAATTCAACTTTTATTTTTATTCTAAATTTCAATTTTGTTTATTGATTTAACTACTATCACAACTTTATTTTTTTAATCAAAGATTATATGTCTATTCAACCCAATAATTTAAACAGATTCTGTTTTAAATATAAACTTTGAAGAAATACTTAAAACGTACAAATCAATATGGGCAAACGCGTCAAGGCGCCGGGGTGGGGGATGGACAAACGCGCATCTCTAAGTGTGATGTTTGTATGATTATGAGGTATCTTTTAATATATATATATATATATATATATATATAAAAATATGAAAGCAAAAAAAGTATACACTGAATAATAAAAATAATAAAATGAAAATAAAAGTAAATTCAATTTTAATTGAAATAATTAAAGGTTTGTTTGTTTATAAACGTATTATAAAGACAATTTGGGAAGTTAAAATAAATCAAAGTAAAAAAATGTCTGCTAATTTTATTTAAGAAAAATTATTAAGTAGGTCCTGCATAATTTTTATTAGATTTTTATAATTTTCTCAATTATAAGTGTTGGTCTCTATACCTTATAATTTGTTAGTTCGCAAAAGAAACGTCTTAGTAGTTGATGATGTGATTTTATTCAACACACATTTAAATTGCCTTTTTTAATGGATTTTATATATAAATACAAAGAGACGGAGCATGGTAATTATTTTCATGCAGGCAATAAAAGCATTTTGTCCCACCATTTATTTTTGGAAGACTTTTTTAATTTTGTATTTTGTGGCATTACATGTCGCTTGATCAGTATTTATGTAAAAACCCTCTACCTCAAGACATTATAACTCATCATAAAATCACTACTATGGTAGAAAAGGAAAATCTGTTAAATGAACTACCATAGTAGGAAGAAATTTGCATAATTTTGAATTCACATTTAAACCGTTGCATGCAACTGAAATAATCCATTCAATCATAATCCACTGGGCCTCCGAGCCTCCGGCCCGGGTAACAAGATACATCCAAAAATCAGCCCATCCAATTTGTTTTCCACCAGGTATAACAAAGTTCCATAAAACAATAGCAATGGCCTCCGGCCAACTAAAACAAGGAGGTAACATATCCTCCAATTTACAATAGATTAACAATCAAAATATCACAAAAAACCCCTAACTGTGGCAATATACAACATATTCATACATAAACCAAGGCTAGAGGCCTAAAGCTAACCAAGCTTAAGCCTCTGCGTCTCTTCCCGAAGGCGCACGCCTAGAAAATTCACCTGAAAACATTGTAAACCACGGGGTGAGACAAAGTCCCAGTAACCAACCTTTCCAATACTAGGTACTACTAAATAGGTGCTCGTGAGGTGTCAAGTGGGGCAGTTCACAAGTAATATAATAACAAGATAGCCACAATAAATCATGCGAGTGAAATGATGCAATTCCCATTAACCAAATCCCTCACTTTGGGGGATTTTCAGGAGCCGAAGCCGGCCTATCCCTCACTATGGGGGACGTAAGGAGCCATAAAAAGGCCTATCCCTCACTCTGGGGGACATAGGGAGCCAAAAGGCCTATCCCTCACTATAGGGGACGTACTAAGCCAACCATCATGCATTAATGGAGGCCTTACCACGTGGTAGTAACTATCAAACTCTCACCAAATCCCAAATCATGCATCATGCTCAAATCATAATCAAAGAGTAATAATCATTTCACAATTAACCTCATTCAATGGCATATCTTTCACAATTCCAAAAATGCATTCATCATAAATCAAAACCCCACAAGATGGTTTTCCCTTTTTATATACAACATATAGTTTGAACACAATTACTATTTGGAGCACAAAACACAAATATACTCACAATACCACAGAAGCAAGTACTAAGGATTGGAAAGTGGTTACCTCTCGTCTGAGCAAGGAATAACAAACCAACAATGTGGCCTCGTGCACCACCACGACTCACAACCGGTCTACACAAGCACACAAACACACAACTATCATATATTAGCTTTCAAACTAATAATGTGGCCAAAACAACACTTGAGGACACAAAATTCCTATCTCCCATCAAAACTCTACCCAACTCAAAGGGTATAACTATCAAGGCAACACTCCAAGGTCATACCAATCCATTAACACCTTAATTCCTTTTTAAACATCAATTAAGATTCACAACCTCAAGGACCCATTATGGAATTCTACACCGAAACATCCCATTTGAGCAATTAAGGCTCCAACAACAATTCTAAACCGATTAAACATCCAATTTAATCCTCCTTAACATAACCCAATTCACAAAACTCAAAATCAATCTCTACATTATCATCTTCAATCCCAAATCATCCAATTCCATAAACCCTAGCTCCAAAAATTCAAGATTCTTTAAATCCAAGGAAACTACACCGATTAAATACTTAAACTAACCCAATGCAATCAATTAAACTCAAAACAATCGGTCAAAAACCTCAATTCCATCACAACCTAGAAAATCCTAGGGTTCCACCAAAAATCCTCATAAATTCCATGGAATTTCAAGAAAGAAAGAAGATTAGAGGTTAAAATCACTTACTTGAGGTAATGGATCCTTAGAAATGTCTTTCCCAAGCCTCAAAACCGAAACCCTAGCAGAGCTCCTCTCTCCTCCTTCAGATTTTCTAATTTTCGCACAACTGAACCCTCCAGCGACTATATAGAATCGCGAACTTTTGCCGCGGCGAACTAATCCCGAGAGGGATTACTTGCCTGAAAACCTGACTTCGCCGCGGCGAACTCAAACTTCGCCGCGGCCAAACCTTCCTGAGAAGACACTCCCCTCTGAAACTCCCGGTGCGCCGCGGCGAAGTTTACTTCGCCGCGGCAAACATACCCTGAGAGGGGTACGTTCACCCATTCCTCCAACAAACCTCAAATTCAACCCAAACACCCAGATCAAGATTAAATTGCTAATCTATCCTCAAAATCAACCCAAAAGAGGCTATTAAAACCCGATAAAAACTTAGGATGTTACAATTTACATGATCCCTAATTAACATATTATGAGTGAAAAATCAGTTCGAAACAATAAGACTCACAAATTAATTTTTCTTTAAATTAAAAAAAGTTTCAACTAATATTTCATACCTTTATATTTGAGTGATGGACTGACGTGATATATTGATCATCACATTATCATAATGATATGTGTGTGTGTGAGAGAGATTTTGTGAAGGTTAAAATGTCATTTTCATCATACTATTATTAATGTTGATATTAAGCGATAAGGCAGAAATTATATTTGTCAACAAGAAAAAAGGCGGCAGAAATTATGGAGGAAAGCGTAGCCGACCGTTGGCTTTTAATTTAATTTTAATTTTAATTAAAAATTTCACAAAATTCTTCTCTCTACTTTAACACTTTAGCCTAATAATTGTCCGACCAGTAGGTCCGTAGCATTTCGTCGCCATATAATACCCGATATTACCGACAAAGCTACGACTTTCTACCTCAAATGCTCTTCTCAAAATTGTATTTATATATAATTTTAATAAAGATGATAACAAATTAAAATAAAATGAATTTATATATGTTATATATTATTTTTCTAAACTAGTGCTTGTAAATGATTGGAAAATATTAAAAAATGTCAGATAATTTTTATTTTATGTAAAATTTAAAAAATGATGACATTATCTATAATATTTATAATCATAACTTGTAAGTGGGGCACCATATTATAAATTTTTATTATATATTTTGAAATATTAATCCTATTTACTTCTCTTATCCTATTTATATGACATTTTCAACATATTTTATACAGACCAAAGAAAACATTAAAATGTATTAACTCTCCATTAAAATATAACAATTTTCTAATTTTATCCATATTTAATATATATACTTTTTAAAAAAGATAACTACTTACACCTTAATAAATAAAGGACAAAATATTACATTCACACTGAAAATTTAATAAAGTGACTTATAAATAGAACAAAAAAAACTTTCTCTCTCTTCCCTATAAATAGAACCAGAAGAGTATAAGAAATAACCTCTTGTCAAAACGTTAATTAAAATTTTTTTATGCACTCATTAAAATAAGTATTTATTAATGACATCAATTATTAAATGCCACCACCTAATTATTAAATAAGAGTATGTCTGAGAAATTTGTATTTTCAATATACTCTTCTAGTCCTTTTTTTTGTATGAAACTTCTGGTCCTATTTATAAAGTAAAGAAAGAAAATTTTTCTTAGTCCTATTTATAAGTGATTTCATTAAATTTTTGGCATAAATATACTATTTTATTATTTATTTATTATAATGTAGATATTTTTTTTAAAAGGTACATATACCAAATAGAAGTAAAGTTGAAAAGTTATTATATTTTAATTAAAAATTAATGCAGTTTGAAGTTTTTTTTAATTTATGTGAAACATGCTGAAACAACCTTATAAATAAAATTAGAGAAGTATTTATTAATCTTCTAGAAGAATATTAAACAAATATATATTGATATATTAATCACTGTAGCTTTACACGTTGATCCTCCTCGTAATCTCACAAAAGTTAATGCAGTTGAATATATAAGCAAGCAAATACAATGATTATGATGCCAAGAGAATCCAATGATACAACAAGTCAAAAAAAAAAAAAAGGTTCTTTTATATATATATAAATATATATCGGTACTTATTATATTTGCAAGCCATGATTGTGCTGGAATACGTTTGACATCCCTTTAATTCTCCCAGGATTTTATTTAATTTCTTTCAATATAAAGGAAAATTCATAATGCCCAGGCACATACCTTTGCTTTTGTCAAACATGACGCTCACTTCCTTTTATTTCTTTTCCATTTAAGCATTTTCTTATCGATTTTATATTTAATTTAATATGAATATTAATTAATATTAATTTTTCACCATATGTAATTATGTATCCTTTCACCAAATATAGAGACCGAAATATAAAATAACGATATAGATTTTCACCTAATTATTTTTAAATGAGTTTTACATTTTTTTTAATTAATACGCAGAACAAAAGATTCTTTCTTGTTCCTTTATTTTTTTGGAATATAAAAATATATGACGCATGCAAATATCTATTTTAAATTCGTTTTTCAAACAATGTGTCATCATCTTTCTTAAAGACTCTTGCGAACGAAGAAGACAGAGTTAGACAGAAATACCATTTACTTCAGATCTACTGATTCTGCAAGCTTTCAATTCTCGAGCTCGCGCATGAGTTTTATTGCCTTCAATCCTTTGTGTTCTCCATTTCCTCCATCTTCTCTTTGCCTTACGCTGTTCATTTGTGGATATCAAGCTACCGAACTCCGTGATGTGTTAAATGTCACCCGGCCACGGCTGGAACTGTACTCACCGGCGTTTCGTCGGAATCCAGTTCAATGAGGGTGCTTATCTTTCCAGATTGAATCTTTTCATGCTATTGAACCGCGTTTTCGGGGTCAGTGTGGCATGTGAAGGTGAGTTGGCGGAGGAGTGAGCGAAAATGTTCCGGTCGACGAGATGGAGGAGCGAGAAGCACAGAATCAAAGCTGTTTTCAAGCTACAATTCCGTGCTAGTCAGGTAGCGTAAGAGGCATTGGGATTTTGCTTTTATTTGTTTTCGATAGTGTGATTGACTCACTCTGAGCTCGCTCTGTTGAAGGATAATCGCAATTGTAACTGCTACAATTATTGAACGCAGTCTACTGGTGATAAAAAGCCCTCTGGCTTCTGTTGGCTGCCAATAAAATTTCATTTTAATTTTTCTCTTCGAGTTTAAAATCATTCATAATTTTGATCAGTTTAGAGTCGACGAGCTTTCTATGATTCACGGCCTTGGTTGGCAAGCGGATTCTTCTTCTCAGTGTGCTTAAGAAATATAATTAAAAAGCGGCAAAAATCCTATAGCCCTTTCTATAAATATCTGAAAATTCTAGTCAAGTGCTGGAGTAATTGCTGAATTCCAATGGTTTTGCACAATGTGGTGGGGTTGAGACCTTAGAATTTATATTGACGGCTCAGAGATTGATGCCAGGTTCTGCAATCTGGGGTAAATGCATTGATATTGTCTATAATTCCGGAGGACGTTGAAAAGCCAACGACGAGATTAGAGAAAACAGCGGTTCGAGATGGAGTCTGTAGATGGGAAAATCCGGTTTACGAAACAGTCAAATTCACACGGGACCCCAAGACTGGGAAGATCCATGAGAGGATATATTATTTTGTCATATCAACGGTATAGCATTTATCTCTCCCTCAAACCCGAGTGCTTTGCTTATGTGAGAATGAGATATAACTGGGTTCTATCACTCTGTAGGGACTAAGGAAAGCAAATTCCATTGGGGAAGCTTCGATTAACTTCGCTGATTATGCTGAGGCCGCGAAACCTTCCGCTCTCTCTCTTCAGATCAAGAATTCTCAATGTGATGCTGTTTTGCATGTTAGTACTTGCTCTTACCTTTTTACTCCGAAGTTTCGGGAAACCTTATGATAGACATATTATCATGAAAAAGGAAAAAGCAAAATTAACTAATGTACGGTATATATTTCAGTAAATTTGATATTTTGATCATTGGGCAGGTATCAATACAGAGGGTACAGGAAAATGACGACAGAAGGTATGTTCTGGTTGCTTTTAGTTTAAAGAGTTTATTTAAACTCAACAGGTTTAGGTGATCGGCTTTTTCTTGATGGATAACACATGCAGAGAAGAGGAGGAATGCGAAGAATCCAGAACAAAATCCCAAGATAGAACCTTGAGAACCTATTTAATTAATGGAGATGCGGATGAAAGTCCTGCAAGTAATTCTGCCGAGGTAAGTTTTTTAGTCAGTTGGCTTGGGTTCCCCACCCCCCTTCCTTGTCCTAGCCTCTGTATTCATTTTTCCCTTTCAAGTTTCTTGTTTTAGGCCCCCCCTTGTTTTTTTTTTTTTGGGGGGGGGTGTTTGCTGTTTGGTTGGTGAATAATTTATTCCTTTGCTATTGTTTGCACATGAAACATTCTTAGGCACCAGGCAGTTAGGTCTCCGCTTTAGCAGAAGATAGCGGAGAGCTTTTCCCTTGACAACTAATGTGTTTTCATAATTGACATTATATAAATGTCATAATTCAACCGATTCCAATTCAAAGAACTTAATTGGTCATTCTCGGGTAGTTAAGCGCGCACTTAATTGCGAAGAGTTTTCCCATTGACAGCTATCATATTTTCATAATTGAAATTTTCTGAATGTCATAATAGAACCATTTCCAGTTCCAAGAACTTAAATGGTCAATTTTTTTTTTCTTTTTCCGTAATTGCTATAAAGTATGTGCAAATGATCGAAGTTACTCTTCCTCCGTATTTCAGGATGTCTCTTCCAAAGCAATTACCCTTAGAACTGAATTCAATGCTGATTGTAGGACATCTAGCGGATCTGATCTTACATTGTCCAGTTCTGGCAGCAGCTCAGGACTTGATACTCCCAAAGATCTTGGACTAAGAAATAATAACATCCATCAGAAGCCACATGGTTTGGTTTCATGTATTGCCCGCACCTCAGAGCCTCCGAAACCTTCTGAAAATACTTCAACGTCAGTACTTGATGAACCCCCAAGATTAAACTGGGACTGGTCAGCTGATTCGGAACGTGGTTTGAGTGCAGATGAGTTGGTAAATGGTTCTTATGATGCCCTTCCAAGAGAACGGTCTCAAGAGGCATCGGATAGGGAGATTGAAAGACTCAAGGCTGAGCTTTCTGCTTTGACAAGGCAGGTGGATGTGACAGACTTGGAAGTACAGACTCTTCGGAAACAAATTGTCAAAGAAAGCAAAAGAGGGCACGAGCTCTCAAAAGAACTTGTTAGCTTGAAAGAGGAAAGAGATGCACTCCAGACAGAATGTGAGAATCTTCGGTCTTTTTACAAACGTATGGATGAGGCCAAACTTAAAAGCAGTGAACAGTTGGAAACTGGTGATCTGCGCACGCTTGTTGAGGAAATTAGACAAGAATTAAATTATGAAAAGGCTTTGAATGCCAATCTTCAGCTACAACTAAAGAAGACGCAGGAATCAAATGCTGAACTTGTTCTTGCTGTACAGGATCTAGATGGAATGTTGGAGCAGAAAAATAGAGAAGTATGTAATGTTTCCAATAATTACAGACTCAGTAAAAATTTCCAAGAGTTGAGGGGAAATCTCTCCAAATATGAAACAGATGATGATGAAGAACAGAAAGTCCTGGAAGATATCGTTAAGGAGCACAGCAACATTAAGGGGAGACACATACTTGAGCAAAAGATTATTGACCTCTATGGTGAAATAGAGATCTATAGGAGAGACAAAGATGAATTAGAGATGCAGATGGAGCAGCTTGCACTTGACTATGAGATACTGAAACAGGAAAACCATGACATTGCATATAAGTTGGAGCAGAGCCAACTGCAAGACCAGTTAAAATTGCAGTACGAATGCACATCTCCTGAAGCAGCACCAAATGACCTTGAAACCCATATTGAGAGTCTGGAAATTAAGCAGCAGGCAAAGTCGGAGGATTTGTTAGATTCTCTGGCTACCATTAGGGAACTTGAATCCCAAGTCATAAGATTGGAGGAAGAATTGGATAAACATTCTCAATCTTTTGAAGCTGATCTAAAAGCTGTGACGCATGACAAATCTGAGCAGGAGCAAAGAGCCATCCAAGCAGAGGACGCTTTGCAAAAGGCCAGAATTCATATTGAGAGTCTTGAAAATGAACTCAGGAAACAATCCGAAGATTTCTCAGATTCTATGACTACCATTAAGGAACTTGAATCCCATATCAGATGTTTGGAGGAAGAATTGGAGAAACAAGCACAATCATCGGAAGCTGATCTAAAAGCTGCAACACAGGACAAAGTTGAGCAGGAGAAGAGAACCATCCAAGCAGAGGATGCATTGCAAAAGACCAGAATCCATATTGAGAGTCTGGAATTTGAGCTCAAGAAACAATTGAAAGATCTCTCAGATTCTGTGGCTACCATCAAGGAACTTGAATACCATATCAAAAGATTGGAAGAAGAACTGGAGAAACTAGCACGATCATCTGAAGCTGATCTAAAAGCTGTAACACAGGAAAAAGTTGAGCAGGAGCAAAGAGCCATCCTCGCAGAGGAAGCTTTACAAAAGACCAGAATTCATATTGAGAGACTTGAAATTGAACTCAAGAAACAGTCAGAAGAATTTTCAGATTCAATGGCTACCATTAATGAACTCGAATCCCATATCAGAAGATTGGAAGAAGAATTGGAGAAACAAGCGGAATCTTTTGAAGCTGATCTAAATGCTGTAACACAGGACAAAGTTGAGCAGGAGCAAAGAGCCATCCGAGCAGAGGAAGCTTTGCGAAAGACCAGAATAAAAAATGCTAATGCAGTTGAAAAGCTTCAAGAGGAATTTAAAAGGCTATCAATGCAAATGACGTCTACGTTTGTCGCAAATGAGAAGGCTGCCATGAAAGGATTTACAGAAGCAAGTGAACTGCGTGCAGAGAATAATATACTGAAAGAAATGTTACAGAAGGTCAAAGAAGAGCCTCAGTCAGTCAAAGCACATTACGAGGTGAAACTGAATGAACTTTCCAATCAAATTGATTCAATGAGAGTTAAGACACAACAGATGTTGTTGGAAATTGAGGATAAGTCCAAGCAACTTGAAAATCAGAAGAAGGCTGAAGAAAAAGTTTGTAGAGATCTTTTTGAGGAGATGCGGATTCTAAAGGCAGAGAATGAAAAGCTTAAAGTAGAGATTTTGCGCCTATCCGAGCAAGTGGAGCAGAAAAAAGTTTTCAGAACCGACTTGGAACTTATGAAGAAATCACCTGAGGAGTCTGAGACTCCAATACAGAGGGGAATTGAAGAAAGAGATGAGTTAGTTGATACAATTGCTTTATTGAGGAAGGAAGCAGAGGAGTCTCTGGATGAACTAAATAAGATTACTCATCTCAAGGATGAAAAAGAGACATTGGCTGAGAACCTAAAATCGGAGTTGGAAGTACTTCAAGCTCAATACAGAGGTTTAAGACATTCTCTTTTTGAGGATGAAGCTGAGAAAGAAAAGCTTAGGAAGCAAATTTTTGAGCTGAAGGGTGACTTAATGAAGAAAAACAATGCATTAATCAACATTGAGAAGAAGGTCAAAGATAATAAGGGATGTACACCACCTCCTGACGGAACTAGAGTTGTTCCAAAGAATACAAGATCTTCCTCAAGCCCTCAAAATGCAGAAGAAATGGCTATTCTGAGGGAGAAAATAACTACGCTTGAGGTAACTTGCAGAAATTCTAGTAGTCTGTAGATGGAGAGCTTGATTCAAATGATAATCCCTCTATTTATGTTTTGATCTACAATTATTTACTTTTAAGTTCTCCATGTTTTCTTGGTATTAAAGTGTAATTTACTTGTGACAATCGGTTGTTGATGGCAGAGCTTGATAAAATCAAAGGAAACTGCTTTAGAAACATCGACAACCTCATTTTTGAAGAAGGAAAAAGAACTCCAAGACAAAATTGAGGAGCTGGAGAAGAGAGTGGAAGAATTCAATCAGAGTAGTGCTTTGCAAAAGGTTATAATCCTTTATCTCTACATATTGCAAGGTGCCAGAAATGTGCAAACATATATGAAATGCTTTAGGCCTTCTGATCATTAGCAAATATTTCAAATGCCTCAATGGCAACAAGAAATTCTTACTTATTTCTAATTAGCCTCTAGATTTAGCTTTTATTTACGAATTGAATTGCTATTTTATTGTACTTGTGCAATATATTTATGATGGTATGCTGTTCAAACAGGTTGCTGAGGTTAAAAGTATTGCAACTTTAAATGATGAATATAGAGGAGTAAGAAGTGCAGTTGAGCATCTTAACGGCACAACAAATTCTTCCGAAGAAAATGCGGTTGCATTGTCATCCTTCAAGAGGTCCAACTACTTTCTTCCTTATCCTTTCTTTTCTCACATCATGGCATAGTTTAGTATCAGTCTAATGGACATTGGCTGCTCAATCTGTATATGGCATTCTTACTTGTAACCTTGATAATTCAGTAACTTGTTTAACTGATTTATTCTTTGTTCATGGCAGTGATATGAATTTGTCAAAGAGAGAAGTGAGAAAATTCACGATTGATAAAGATGGCAGCAATTTTTGTGAGCTCTTAACTGAGTTAGGATCATTGAAGCAAAAAAACAAATCAATGGAAATGGAACTGAAAGAGATGCAAGAGAGATACTTAGAAATGAGTCTCAAATTTGCTGAGGTAGAAGGTGAGAGACAAAAGCTTGTTATGACAGTACGGAGCCTCAAGAGTGCCCAGAAGAGCTAATTAGTTCTTCAGTTCAGATATCTAGCTTGTTTGTGTATAGTTGGAGGAGGTGGGAGATCTTAAGGTTAAAAAATGAGAATGGGATTAAAATTAAATAAATTAATAATATGTATATTGGCAAGATGAAAATGAATTTCTTCCCTTTTCTCTTTTGGCTTAATTAATGTTAAATAGCTGCCCAATTAGGTACCATTTTACAAATATTTTTCTGTAGGATGTAATGTCAGTGTTATGTAGTCAACAAGAGTGCCCTTTCCTGTATTGGTCTGTCAACAAATCACGATAATGTACTCTTCACTTTTTTCTTACGTATACATATTCTTTTATTGTATATCAATCAATCAACTTATTCTTCAAATCCTGTAATACTCGACTTGATATGGCTGAATCGGTTCTGATTAATTACCTGGATATAACTCCTAACAACATCCAAAGACTTGTTTAGCCCTACAAGAAACTAGAACACACGTCCTTTACTTTTTTTGATTAAGCACAAGTGAGGCCAACTCGATATACTCTTGGGCATCGAGTGATGGCGCTTCTCCCAAAGTGGATTTGGCCTTTGGTTCTGTTATATTGTGACAGACTAGTTTTTTGTTAAATCTAACTCTCTTTGGTAGAACAAACATTTTCCTTTCTGTTTGTTTCTTGGGACAGTAGTATCACTTTTTGAGGACCCATCGTTTTACGAGTATTGACGCGCAAATTCAATATTCTTTTTACCTTTCAAAATCTGGAAACTTTCTCTACTTATGAATGATATTTTGCATCGTCTTACCTATGACATACCCCACGAGAGTTTATTAGCATTCTAAGTACCTGACAAGGTATTTTTTCCCTTTTAAATGGAAAGTGATATCTGTCATTCCAAAAATGAACATGTATACAGAAAACAAAAAACAAAATAAGAGAACTTATCTCTCATCACCCACGCCCTCTTTAGAACAAGTTGATGGAAGATCAAATATGCACAGGTTATTACTAAGGGCTGGAGCAAGCCTATCTACATCGTAAGCTAAAATAGTTTTGAAGAGAATTTAAGGGTTGGATTTCTCTTCGGTGGAAAGAGAAAGAAATATAGTGGATTTCACTTAATATGTGTTACCTACCATAACTGCTCTTTTTTTCCCAAGTTATTGAGTCGTTTGGGTTAACTGATGACCTTACCTAAAATTCTAAGTTGCTGAAGAGCGCATATGCTTTTCATCTTAATTCCTAAGTTGCTTAACAAGGATCTTTATCTTAGGTGATATCTCATAATTAATGTTTTTTATGCTTCAAAACTAAGGACTTGCCCATTGAACTCGAAGCTAGCAAAGACTGGTGATTTTATCCATCTCTTTACAGCATGTGAAAAATATGTACTCCTCCACACTAGGAGCAATTTGAAGAGTTGATTTTGGTTTTAGATATAAAATTTTAATATATTTTTTTTCTCATATCTATTATTTTTCTCCAAATTGTATTTATTTAACTCATAAACTCATTTATAGTCTAATTAATGTTATATACGAATATTTTAGTTTCTGTTTGGTACAAGGAAAATGGAGGAAAAAGGAGAGGAGGACAAATTTTAATGATTTTGATTTAAAAAAATTGAAGAAATGGGGTTAAAAACTTTAAATTAATTTTACTTACTCTTTTATTTTACATTTTCTCTTTATCAAAATTGTATAACCCTACTTCTCTAATTTTTTAAAATCAAGCTTATTAAAAGTTTTTCTTCCCTTGACCACCCTCAAATTTCCTTGTACCAAACATGGGCTAAGGAAAATCAGGTCGCGAATTAAGTAATTTTTTTCCACTAGACACATGTATTTTCTTATTAGAAGCAATCTTGCTCTATACATTATTAAAATGACAAATAGGTTATTTTAGCATTATTAATATCTTTACAAGAATTGTGAGCATAAACCATTTGTTATTTTAAAATTCAACAAGTATTTTATAATCATTTTTTCTTTATTTATTTAACTTATTTAATTTACTCAAATTAGTACCAAAGATTATTTCCAAAAAGGAAAAAAAAGATATATGCAGCACACACCAACCAAAGATAACATACATAAACTGTCTTTCCTCGACAATATATATACACTCACATCTACATTAATCCTAATCCAAAGTAGTAGTGATTACAAAACTTGTCATCTCAATGATCTGTAAATGCGAGAATCACGTAATCTCTGGTACAAGGCAGCCCATCTATATATGCTTTAATTATTTACATTCTTCCACATATTAATCCATACACAGTGACGAAGGCCATAATTAGTGAATGATCTGTGTCTTCTTCTACCTCTAACGTTAGAACGTCATCACCCAGAACTATTCCTGCAGATGATTGCTTCTGCTTCACCTGCACAGATTCAGCTAGTATCAACACCAAATTCACACACACACACACACACACACACACCCCGATCTGAGAAACATAACGAGGATGAGGATATTGTTAATGAAGAAGCAAAAGAATTATTATTGTTATTATATATCTTTACCTGAGCGATGACTTGTCCTTCCATGTTCATTATGATGAAGGTCGCTTTGCCATTCATTCTCACGATGCAATACCGTTGACTCCCAACTCTGATCTCACATGCTGCTTTTCCCTTCACCATTTTATGACACCTCTTAACTTTGAACCATGGCTTAGAACCACTGCTTCTGTATCCATCCCACCGTCCAAACCCTAGTAATCTCTGTACAAAATAATGGTTTTAAAGTCACACACAAGTAAGTCATCTAATCTACTCAACATATCAACATATGTACATGTGTATGTGAAATACCATCTATTGTAGGCCGTCCTATTGATGGAAACTAAGGTACTGCCTCTTATCCTAATGTAAGAGTAACGATGAGAAATTTGCAGAGAGTAAAAAATTTAGTATGTTAACTTATTTGTAGAAATTGGCTGTTGGTTTTCCTAAAGTATTGTTTTTAGTCATTTGTATTGGAAACTATTCCCTTAATGGAACACTACTGTTTAATATGCATGTATAATGACTAAAGAGAATTTAAGGAAAAAATTATAAATTTGGGAGATAAAGTAAATTGAGATCTTATAGTATATCTAATCAAAAAGTAGTACGAGATGTTTAATTAGGTTGGGTTGCCCCATCTTAATAACTAGCTTTTAGAGAAAGATTTTCCATCTCACGTATCATCAATTGGCATTGATTAAATCTAAGTGTATTTCTTTTCAAGATGTTCGCTCTCTAAGAAGGAGTGTAATGATTTATCCTAACCTAGCATAGAATGCCTACGTCTAGCTAATCATGGGATGGTAGAATTATCTGCTTCACTTACTATATTCTCACTAGTTATGAATAGGATAACTTATTTTGTCAATTAATAGTGCGATTCATTTTCCATCCAACGTTAAAAAAAATGTCAAAGGAATCAACTTAGACTAGTATATGTGTGTGTATAATATATATTTATCTAGCTAGATAACTAGTTATTAGTATAGTACCTTGTGTAGGGTATAAAGAACTTTGCCTTGGAGATCCATGAGGTTAACTTTCCTTCTACCCTTCCTGTCATAGTTATCAACTCGGTAAACGATGTCGCCATTAGAATCATACACAGTGCAGCCATTAGAGTGCAGTACAAGCGATTTCATCCACACAGTGTAAGTCTTTTTCTGAGAGCTTTTACAGCAACAAGAAGAAGAAGATGAAGAAGAAGAAGAAGGAGAGGTGGTGGTGGTGGATTCTTGAGGATAAACTCTGGCCATAATGTCAGAAGAATATTGATTATGAGGTTTGCGTGTGAAGGAGAGGATGGTCTCAGCCATTACCCTATTTATATACTTACAATACTCAGACTTTCTTAATGATTCCGCGTAGCACTCTGTGAAATATAATAAGAAATATGTTTGGAATACGTAAATATAATAAATTAAAGAAGGAACAGGATAAGTAAGCTTGGAATTAATGAACTTCATCTTCATCATTATTTAAGTCTGGGTTTGGCTCTGACTGTGACGCAGCTTTATGGATGGCGCACTAATCCATTTGAGTAAATTATAAATAGCCAAAGTGAAGATATGTTTTTTTAGGAGTTTGTCTGCGTTGATATTGTTTCATTCAGTGGTCTATATTTGATCTTAATAATCGTGATATTTGTACCATTTTTTATTGTGTTTTGATAATATTTAGTTATAAGTTACAAATATAAAAATAGTATTTAAACCACTAGGCCTAATACAGTTGACACTTAGTTAGGCTTCTTAAACATCTAGTCAATGGTTCAATTCTTGCCAGTGCGTATGGCGAGGGTCTCATGACCAGTAGTAAAACCCCTTCAGGAAATCTATGATGTAAGGGAATTAGTTACTATTATCGACAGTAGATATCCTAAGCTGAACCAAAAAATAAAAATAGTACTCAGAAAAAAAAATTACAGTACAAAATATAATTAATTGTGAAAGAATATTATTAAATTTGAAATTGGGTTGCAGCTACACTCAAATTGGATCAATCAATAATTTTATATATCATACAATTTGTTGGAATTAAAACAAAAACAAAATAAATTAGCCTTCTTGAAGTGTAGGAAAAAAACAGCAGAAGTCCGTCATTTTATTATTTGAAAATTTTAAAATAAGAAAAGGTTATTATTTGAAAATGATCCCTTCTTTGTCACATGTTTTATTTAAGAAAATCTCTCCAAAGAAAAAGTTCATCAACTCAATGATCATTTCATTTCATACCATTTTATTGTTTGCCTTTAATCCAAACATACACCTCATTAACAAAATGATAACAAAATGAGCTTTACTTCTTTTTATCTTTCTTTTTTCTATGTTAGCCAATAGACGAAATTATAAATATACTGTGTGGACATTAAGATTGTTAAGGGGAAAAAAAAAAGCTCGTTCTCTTGATTAAATTCATCAGAGGTGATTTGGCAAGGTTATCTCCCGAGGACACTACAAAAATATATGCGATTAGCAATAGAATTAGTGACAGAATCTTATTAGCAACATAATTAGAGACAGAATTTGTTCCATCACTAATTCTTCTGTCACTAATTGGATTAGTGATAGAATTTCAATTCTGTTGCTAATTAGCGTCGGGTTAGTGATGGAAATCGACAAAATTTTTTCAAAACTTTCCGTCACAAATTAGCAACGAAATCTAATCTGATTTTTTCAAAGAAATAAAATGCCAAGTGGCAGCTCTATCAGCTGCCACCTCAGCACTAGTGACAGTTGCCGGCCATCTCCACGTATCGCTACCACCTCTCCTCTGCCTGCCATGTGTCGCCATCATGTAATTCCTCCTCAAGATGACTTTTCCACGGCTTGAACCAATGGCCTCGTATGCGCGCGTGCGGCTTTTCCAGTTGAGCTGTAATAAATGTACTAACTTATTATACAAAATTAAATATATATAATATTATTTTACACAAATAATTATGTATACATATATATTATTAAAAACTAAAAATAAACTATATGATAATTTTAATCATAACTATTTTTGTGACAAAATAATTTTTAAATATTTTCTTTCCTATTTATTTTATAATGTTTTATTTTCTTAAAAAAATATTTTTAATGTAATATTAATTTCCAATGATACTAATTTTGAATTTTAAATCATAAATAATTTTTTTCATAAATATATTTTTGAAATTTATTTATTTTTAATTAACATTGATAAGATATATAATTTAATTATATATGTATTATATTATATTATCTATATGTGTTTTATATATTTGGTGAAAACCATTTATAATTAGTAGAAAAATCTTGTTATTCAAAAAATAGCTGCCACAATAAAATCTAATAGATTATTCTATGTAAGAAAATTAAATGATTTGAATAGATTATGATAAACAACATTCTCCTACTTATATATGTATTCTAATAGATTATTTCTTTCTTATATCAATTTGCATAAAAAAGTTATTAATATTCCTATCATATTTATTTAATTATTATTAATAATCAAGAGGAATTGATTTTAATGAAGTATAAACAAGGTTTCTAAGAAATTTTCTTTCTATTCTCACTATGTATCTAATGATGAGATAAATGATAATGATATCTTTATTAACACCAACTCTACAAATATATTAATTTATTTTACAATTGAAAATATATTTAAATCATTATATTCTTAATTATGTTATTATATAAATTGTTGTAAGATTATAATCTAAAATAATGAAATTTAAAATTAGCGACGAAAATTTTGTTGCTACAATTTAGTGACGGAATTAGCGACAGAATTTTTCCATCACTAATTCTGTCACTAAAATTTTATAATTAAAATTTTTGACCGAAGTAGTAACAGAAATTTTTGACAAAAAAAATTCCATTGCTAGACATTTATTGACAGATTTCTCAATGGACTAGTGAATGAATAAAATTCTTTTGCTAATCTGTTACTAAATTAATAACAGAATTTTCGTTGATAATCCGTTGAAAATTAGCAAAGGAATAATTTTTCATTGCTAATTTCATCAGTAATCAGCTGTTTTTTTTAAGTGTGAATCTTGTCTTAAATATAAGAGTTAAATAATTAATTTTAAAAAATTAAAAAATTAATTAAGTTAGTTATTTATAATAAATATTTGTTGATTTCTCTAAAAAATATTATCTTTAATAATTTATAGTGGAAACTATCCTTATTGATAAATACAATTAGTAGGATTGTTTGGGAAAATAAATATAAATTTGTAAAACAAAATCAATTAAAGTCTTATACGTGCTCCCTCTAGTTGATAATATATATAAGTTATTTTACCTAATTCATCAGAATCAAAAATAGTAATTAACTCTTTAAATTTGTCTCAGATTGAATTTTCTTCCACTTTACCTATATTAAATGAGGTTGTGAATGAGAGAAAAGAAATACAGGAAATCACATTTAAGCATTAATTACAGGGATAAAATTGACAAATAAATATTAATTACTCTTTAAGTGACTAGTGAACAAAGAAATTTTTTTAATATTACGAAAATGTGTATTTAAAATCAAAACAATATCTCAACTATCTTATATACACTTAGAAGGAGAGGGAGTAATAAAATTTTCATAATCATGAGTGGGAATTCGGTGGGGTGGGTCACATTACAAGAGGAAGTGGAAGAGAATAGTATCATCACCTCCCATTAGACCACAAATTGAGCATTAGATTGGTTGTCCACTAATCTAAATTTTTATGACTAATTAATTATTAATTAGTTAATTAAGAAGCAGCCATCCACCACAGGTTCTGAGACGAGCTTCTGAGGTCTGACCTTGTGTCGTCTGAAATTGTATAAAATAGAGCACTTGCAAAGTGCTTATCCTTTTCTGACATTACCTGAGAAAACTGTGGATAGAATAATTTAATTTAGCAACTTTATGCCTTTAAACCGTAAAGTCCAAAATTCCAGTAATAATGTAAATGACAAGTGCATGCACTGCTTATGACTTGCGTTGTTATCTGCCCTTTTTTTTTTTTTTTCCTTTCCAAATATGTAACCATACGCTTAAACAAACATGTACAGTTATCCAAAAAAACATGTATTTAATTTTATTATGATATTTACTTTTAGGTTATTTCTTTATGATATATTTTTTTTGAGAGTATAATATATTCTTCTGGTCCTATTTATAGGGCAAAAAGAAAAGAAAGTTTTTGGTCATATTTATAGGACAGAGAAAATTTTTTCAAATGAATGTACAATTTTACCTTTTATTTATTATTATCTTGACTTTATTTTCATGGAGTATATATGCATATTAAACAGACATAAAGTTAAAAAGTTGTTAAATTTTAAAAAAAAGTTAATAAAGTTTAAGGTTTTTCTTGATCTGTATGAAACATCTTAGAAGTTACTTGTAAATAGGATCAAAACAGTATGTGATTGCATTTATTATTAAAAAAATCTGGATATATTACCACTAATGACCAGAGTGGCAAGAGTGTATGTGTGCGGACAAAAGTTAACCCTTAATTTTAAAATCTTAATTACCATAATTCTATTTGCGATTTTATTTTTCATTAACCTTTAATTTTAGGGGAAAGAATAAAAGCATGCAGAACAAATTTAAATCATGTTTTTTAATTGAAAGGCAAGCTCAAAATTTGAAAGTTTTTTTTCCCCAATCAAGAGAAACGAGGTAAATGGCCTCCCACTTTGCCATGTTCCTAATGAGCACAGCCCTTTTAATGTAATCAGGGAAGATTTTTAACGTCGATTTTAACTAAGAAAACAAATGTAATCCAGTAACATGGTTTTGTAAACATTTATTGTCAGTCAAAAGATAATATAAAAGGATACTTTCCATATAAATTATAGAAAAAGGCAACTAGCATAGAAAGTGAAATTTCCAGCACTATTAATTTGTATTTAATAGAATTTTCTATCAGTTGAATAAATAGATGTTGGTTCGAAAATATATAAGACAACTATTATTTTGAAACTAAAAATAGTGCATATGTATATACACTATTTTTTGATGGGGCCAATATACACACACATGTATATATGTGCAACTTTAATTTGAAACTAAAAAAATAGCATACACATGTTTGTGTGTCACACACACACAACTTTAGGGGGGGTTGGTGGTGGCCGTTGATGTAACGCAAGGAAGTTATTCTTATTTAATGTTTAGTTATGAGCTATTCCTTAAATAATCATTATTATCCTCTCTCTCTCTTGGGAAACTGAGTGGTGGTGTTAGGTTATCTCACAATCAGCATCACACACACAACAAACAAACACACACACACACACACATA